ATAGTATTCTGTCTACATTTTCCGTCTCGGCATCAGGAACGTGCGGACAACAAGGTATACTTAAAACTTCTTTTCTCCGACGGACTCGAATCGATTTTTACTTAACACTTACTCCTCTGCTATCTGACTTGGTCCATTTCTTTAAAACCCGTCTTATCTGGTAAAATTCTTAAATTATGCCGGATTTGTACCTCTTACCCGTAACCGTAGGGAGGATAGTCTCTTAAGACAAATTGAGCGAACATATATAATACCCCAGTATTCAACCTCCCCTGTTATAAGAGTTTAAGGCCCTGCTAAAAATAAGCATCCATATATTTGGGAGGGCTCATCGACTTTTACCCAACCCATAGGGACCCAAAACAGAGAGGTAAAATAAATTTTTGTTATATCACCTAAATCTTAATCACTGGGAATATAGCGTCTCTTAAGGGGGTTTACTTACTAATCCGATTGTTCACAAACCATTATCTCAAGAGTGGAAACCCTTCGGTCTTTTTATTTTTATAGTAGGCGTTTATTCCTTTAGTATACGAGTCTAAGTTGGATAGGGAGGTGTGGCGCTTTACCGAGCCTACAACCGCTTCGGTTTCGATCACAAGTATCGTTTGTCTTTTTTCTCCCTATCCCCCGGTAGGCGAACAGGCAACACCGGGAACACATCTGATTTACCAAACCTATAGTACAATAAACAATTATGGGGAAGTCGACAACCTAGACTTTACGTCTTCAGAGGTTTGTAAACTCTATAATAAGTGGTAGGGTTTTAGAGGAGTTCTGAAGGTAGTCCATAAAAAGGTAAGTTAGGACAGTTTCCGGAAAAACGTCGTAGGTTGCTGTCCCAAACCGCCACAGAAAGTGTAGTGAGGAAAGTACCTTCATATAATGCGTCGAGACGGCTTATAATCCTTTTCGAACTGCGGGAACTTGCTTCCGGTAAGCCAGAACCTCTAATTCCTTACCATGTTATACTAAGATGCGGAAGAGGCGGTTTCAAAATGTGTCTTAAAAACATTAGTGTTGTGTCAATTCCTACCCTTGCTATCCTGGGGAAAAGACAACACCAAATGGTCCCGAACCCTGTCGCACTATTAACCGTCGGGCATTTCTCACCACCGTTCTCATGCGGTTGAGTATACGGAGAAGTTGTTGTATGAGATTATCTCCCCCCCCTCATCAAACAGACCTTGTAAATATTAGAGGATATCCTAGGGTAGACAGGAACGCACAGAAGCGAATAGTATAAGGGGTTCCGAAGGGGCTTAAAGGAATGTCAATTTATACGGTAAGTCAGAATAGAACCGAGACAGTATTCAACCCTAAAAGATTGACTAGGATGTTCCTAAGTCTACATTGACTCCATAATAGACCCATAAGACTTCGATATTTCCCCTAAGCACTATAAGATTTCCTCCTCAAATAAAGTCGACTAGATTGACATACCAAAGGCAATAGATTAAACTAACCAAATATCCGAGATAGGCTAACCGTTAAATAGAAGATAATGAGGTACCCGTCTTCGAACGGTTCCGAAACGGTGGGAACCAGGACATTTCTAACGGAATTGGTTTTCCTCCAAACGAGCGTTAAAATTGATTTTTCGTTATCGAGAATATGAGATCGCAGGGTTTCTTCCCGAGAATACAAAAGGACCTCAATGTCATCCTGAGAATGAGAACACAGATCAACCAGGTCGCAAGTAATGGACTTCAGACCTCCGTCGTGCGCAAATCGCCAGTGAGAAGTCTCTGGTGTAACCTCTGGCAGTCTGAGAACGAAGAGACAGACAGCTTGCTGTTGTGTACATAATTTGTAGGTACATCAAATATAAATTTCTCGTCGAAAACTAGATACTGACGAAGTGGGATAATTTCTGAAAATCTCAACAACTCGCACATCACACCGCAAAGACGACCAATTTAATAAAGCAGCAAAGTACTATAAGCGTTCCGCAAGAACTGTTACAAGGATTGGTCAGATTTATACATAGGTTAAGTCGAAGGCCCGAACGAGACAGTATCTACTCCTAAAGATTGACGTAGTCGTTAACAGATCGACTATGCAAACAATGTATATTCTGAGAAAGTGTTGCTTTATCTTTATGATACAAAACTAATCCCATAGACTTCAAGTACCTAATCTACAATTGTATTATTGGGCAGCGCAGCTGCGCACAGCCATGTTTTACTTCTCCTCCTCTGACCCTCCAGCATGGCTAGCCATTGAACGCAATACAGCACCGGGCCTATCCCTCCAGTCATATATCTACTCTGCTCATGCTAAAAATAAAAAAAAAACAGACAAAAAACCCATTTGTTAAAAATACTCTTTCTGTTTGGCATAAAGCACATGTCTATATATAGTAGATGCTCCCAAACTATACCAGTTCTCCCCAATATGGGGTAATGACAACTTTGTCCCCGGAAGAGCGGATGGGGGATTCAAAAAATGGGTTGCCAAGAGTCTGAGTAAAATAAAGGACTTGTATACAGAAGGAAAACTTATGTCCTTTGATCAGTTGGTTCATAGATATGCCATCCCTAGAAGCCACTTCTTTAAATTCCTGCAGTTAAGGAGCTTCATATCAGCACAGACTAAATGCTTAGATGAGCCACCCTTGTCAGTTGTGGAGAGGGCCACTCTAAATTATATGGATGCTCGAGGCCAACTATCAGTCATTTATGTTCTGCTGCGGTCCAAATCAAAGGACAACTCACACTCAAGACTCAATGCTTGGAGAGATGATTTGAAAGTAGACATTACAGAGACTGAGTGGGAAAATGCTTGTTTAAAGGCACAAACCCAGACTATAAACACTGCACTGAAACTGATACAATATAAATGGCTGTTCAGAACCTATGTTACACCTGTTAAACTGAATCTGTATAATCCTAACATTCCTGATAACTGTTCCACATGTGACGATAATGTTGGTACTCTGTTGCACTGTATGCGGGAATGCCAACAAATCCAATCATTCTGGAAAGATATAGAGTGGCGAACTCACGCCCATCTACTTCCGGTCCATGGGACCTTATTTCGGAAAAATTATGTATTGAAATCAATGAAGAGAGAAAACTTATCTTTCGATCCCGTTTGAATTGTGCCATGAATTACAAAAAAGTCACAGTTTGTCGTAAAACTGTTGAAATATAAGACTATGAAAAAATACGCAACTAGAAAGACTACAAATCCCAGAGTCATGACGTAAGTGATGTCATAACTGATGTCACAATTGTTTTCCTCCACCAAATAAGAGATAGCTAAGATAAGTTTAACAAGATGCCTGTGTGCTTAGTACCAGGTTGTTATCAAACAAGCAATGGGTCTTGCTCGTTCTTTCGCTTCCCGTCTGATGAAAGGACCAGGAGTGGCTGGATCAAGTTAGCTACCTAGCTAATAGCTAGCACGTTAGTTAGCATTACAGCCTTAGCATTGTCTTATTAGCCTTAACATGAAGAAGTAACATCAAGTAACCCAAAATGTTAAACAGTAAGAGTAGTAGTCATATTTCGTGAACCATTTGAAGAGTACTGTCACACCGGTGTGATCATTCTATAATACACAATTTAAGCTCGGGGGAGAAATGCTAACGCTACATTAGCATCTGCGATCTTTTCTACTTCACGCTATCTGCACAAATGGTTGACATTAAACATTAAAAAGACCAGACAGTTCAGAGAGGATCAAAGGATGACATTCTTCTGGACGTGTTTCATTGTGGTGATAGTGAGGGTAGTCAATCCTTTTGTTGACAAGACAGTAGTGACGGCCATCTTGGTGACGTGTGTTGTTCTGCTAGACCGGAGCAAGCCCCCATGAAGTGCGCCGGACTCTGAGTAGAATATTCGTTGTGGCTAAACGGCGGTACTACACTTCCTTTAGGTTGCTGGGCCCGGAAACACTTTTTCCCATTGACTTACATGGGGAAAGAATGGTCTGTAAATCGTTGGATAATTGTTTTTAAACTTTAAAAACAATTATCCAACGATTTACAGACCATTCTTTCCCCATGTAAGTCAATGGGAAAAAGTGTTTCCGGGCCCAGCAACCTAAAGGAAGTGTAGNCTCTGATATGCTTTTGTAAAGTGTATCCTGTTTGACTTCCTCACAATCCAACAAGCAGCTTGGAAAATGACACACACGCACACACACACACACACACACACACACACACACACACACACACACACACACACACACACACACACACACAGNTCCAAGCTGCTTGTTGGATTGTGAGGAAGTCAAACAGGATACACTTTACAAAAGCATATCAGAGGCCTTAAGCAGGGGGGGGCGGGAAATGGAGAGTGTGTGAGGGAAGTTGTGCAAAGAAAGACAACAAAGCTAAGACCTCCTTCTCCTTCGCCTCCTTTACTCTTAGTGTAAGTTAGACCTGACTCTATAGTTGTTTTTTATGTAATGTACAGATAAATATGTTCATTGCACAGGTGTGTGTGCATGTCTCACCATCGGGGGAACACGCCGTTTTCTAAGCTGGTGGTTTGGCTGCGGAGCCATCGCCGCTGGTAACTGGACGCACAGCTGCTGGTGAGGGAGGAGCCGGGAGATGGGAAGGGGGTTATCAACAGGCTGCTCAGGGAAGCTAAAGGGGGAGGTGGAGGGATGGAGAGAAGGATCGGAGGGGGATAAGGGAGATGAGAGAAGGGAGGGGAAAATGAAGAGAATGAGGAGAAGGAGAACAGAAGGGAGGGAATGGTGGGTGACAAGAGAAGAAGGACAAGAGTGAGTCAGACAAGTGCGTAGGGCTTCTGAACAACACATTGCACACACACATTTCCACACAGAGATTGACAGATGTAACAAACTATAATCGATCTTACTCAGACGAGGCACGGGAAAAGGCACGAAGATACCCCTCTTTACACTTTCCCCTAATTATTAGATAGCTTTCTTATGAGATCTAATATAAGCCTGCTAGCGGTCACATGCTTTGACAACCTGGCTTTACACAAGGCTGATATAGTAATGACAAACCTACACGCGCACAATCAGGAGTTATTTACAGCCCCGGCAGCACGTGCTGGTCAATGGTCACATGAGTCAGTTGTGTCTGACCTTAACAGTGTTCAAAGAGATGAACAGGAGAGTGTGTGTGACGTATGAAGAGAGAACTGTGCTAGGTGAAGACGCAGCAGTAAAAGGGGACAATATGTATTTGGGATTTTTGCCACAGAGGGATGTGGGTCTATTTGTTTGTCAGTATTTGCTAAAGAACCTCACCCCATTGGGGAGGAGGGTGGGGAAAGGAGAGATGAGGACGAGGCTGGAATTAGAAGCTCATTTACTAGTAGCAGCTTTTCAGAGCTGCTATATTTAATCCTGCATGTGACCCGGGTTTGAGCAGAAAGCCCAATTCTCTTCATACCATTCATGCCAGTGGGGTATGGTGGTGTTTGTAGAGGGGGGGTGGGAGGGGAGTTTCCATTGCACAAGGTTTTCTGGACCCTAGATGCCACGTAAACACCTATAGGGTCCTCCTCGTATATTCTTTTTTGTGGTTTGACGTCAAAATACTTTGAGGGAATGGCGATGGAGAAGAAAACTGATTGCATACGAGTGAGATCAGTTGCAATCACATCTGCACACTTATTTAAATATATTGAATATGTTTATACAAATGCTAAACTTTTTACTGTGATATCTTGTTTCAATAGTTACTTCATCACTTTATTTATGTTGCATTATTATTTAATTTGTATTCTATTTTTATCTTGTGTAAATCCTGTTTTTCATTCTGACACTGTTGCTGCTATAAACGCCTGAAAAGGGGATAAATAAAGTTCCATCTTATCTAATCTTATTGTATCAAAGCTCAAGCATCACTGCTTAAAGAAGTGTTTTAACATTTAGGTGTATCATCCCTGTTGAAAAAAGGCTAGTTTGTGGGAACCTTTAATGTGTTTGAGGTAGGAGAGTGTTAAGAGTTATAAAATCCAATAATTTACATACTTAATCTTCCTTAAATTGACCTTGACCTCTTTGGTCCAGACAAGAATAAATGTGGACCCAATTCAAAGCGTGGCTGCACTGTAGGGCTGAGAGTCACATAGCTGTGCTCAGTGTAGGTCAATCCAAGCTTTACCTCCTAGTCTCATTAACATACCTGACCTGGCGATGCCGCTGTCCCTCTCGTCGTGAAGCCCTCGGCCAGGCATGTCCATGGGGTGACTGTGGCCTGCAGGAAAGGGTTGAGAGAGAGAAAGTGAAAAGGTTGGGTTAAAGGTAAAGGAAAAGGGTAAAGACAAGAGGGCCGAGGGAGACACAGATCAAAGGGGAGATGAAAGAAGGAAAGTGACACAGAATAACACGTGAGAAATTATATAAACAAAAACAGTACCAGCTTTATTTAGGGTTCTAACACTTAGCCTGAATATGCTAATCCACAAACAAATGTAGAGACTACAATTAGGATGCTTCACCTCCTCAACATCCTTTACCAAGATATGGCAAGAAAATTATCATCAAGAAACTGCAAGCATTCTTTTTACTATAAACTACTTTTGGACATGCAACCAGGAAATGTTATCTTACATCACTATACACTATATCTCCACCATTAGACCACAAATCACACAACTACTACATGTGAGGTTACTACAATAAAAAGGGGGATGTTTAATAATATCTAATGTCAAGTAGCTGTTACGGATTCATTTCAAAACGGCTGTTTGTTTTTGTTTCACCAAAAACAGGAAGTTCCACAAGTCAGACAAATAAAAAAGACACTACTGCTGTTTTAGGCTCACTGACTCACTGTGTAGCTATCTTCAGCAGCTGCCACAGCTTTGATGCTACTTTTTACAAGAGACACAGCACTATGAATGTCACCGAGCCCATTTGCCTATTCTCAAATGTCCTCCTCGTCAACACTTCAGTATCAAATTGGAAACATTGTAAAACTCCTAACAGCGGAGAGGTGTGAAGACCACTAACGCAGCATGTCAATGTGCCGTTAAAAAGGCATAGCTCCGGCTGGGATGATTAACGAGCAAGTCAACATGGGCTTTTGTTGCAAAGCGTTCAAATGTGTGTGTATACGGGCACTCCTGTGGCAATCTGCGCTTTATGGCCATACCAACATTGTATAACTACATGCCATGCCAGCCTATGGGTGCCCTGAACAGAATTGTGGGTAGGCAGCATCGTGCAGGGTATGGCTGGGCAATATGAACATTTTTTTAATTATCACAATAATCGATATTGTGGCAATATTGTACTGTTGACTATTTAGTGCTTTCACAAAAAAGTTCGCACAGTGAGATTTTTGATTATTATCAGTAATGTGGATATAATGGCTAAAATCTAATTATAAAAACAGCTAGCATAGTCGGGTAATTTCAGAAAATTACACCTCCTTACTGTAATGCAGGCTTTAAACCCAAGTCAAAGCCCCAGGTGGGATTATTATAACCAAAGTGTAGGACGATATGTAGTCTCAAATTACCAGATCAATACTATATTGATATATTGCCCACCCCTCTGGAATGCCTCGGTAAAAACTCCACACCAATTTGTAACAGCAAGGGTGGAGATTTTACCCCCATGTGACGGAGGGACAATTATTACATTCTTCTGACCTTTTGTTCTACTTCTGTTGGGGTTTAAGTTGAGTATATAACAGGTTTCCTTTTCGAAAAACAACTACCGCCAAGGTGCCCTTTAACCAGGCATTTCCCCACCAGCTGCTCAGATGAAGCGTTCGCTGACCCACAGCCGACTGTGTAACCGTCTGATGTGAATAGAGATGTTTACATACTTACTTAAACATTACTGCATCATTACAACGTTTTCTAATAAAGAATACGAAAGCAGACTACTGGTAGAATGTTGATTGATGTTGTGATGGTTGATGATTCAACGCACATAAATCCTTAAATCATCGAGATAAGTGAGTGTAGGAATGTTAGTGAAGAAGACAGAGAGAAGGAACTGTGAAACTCTAACTACAGCCCGACACCAGTGAGAAACCATGCATCACCTCTCTGTGTTTCATACACCTGCAAGCCTGGGTCAGATACATCTAGCATAGTTCTTATGGTGAGGGAGGTTCTTTTGTTTGACTAGGCAACAATTGGTGTTGTCTGGGTTCACTGCCAACTTCTAATCCAGAATGTGTAAATAAAAAGCTGTGGATGTCAGAGAATGGCATTTGCACCGTTATTTGGAGCCACTTTAGAGGATTTGAGTCAAAATGTCCAAATGAAACAAAGTAGGTGAAGACATCATCTTGTTTGGGAAGAACATGCCGACCACCTCAAAGAACATTTTCTGCAGCTTCTATCTGACCCAAGGTATTTACAGAAGTGCTGTGATATTGCATGCTGTGACTACTGCTACCACTTCCAGTGCAAGAATCACCACACAGGCATGCAGCCGCTGACAGTCAAGGCCTGTACAAACCCTACTACTGTCTACAGTCTACACACACGCATGCTACTGGCAGTCATGGCCAGCTTTAAGCGCCAACCTGAAAAGAAAGATGCGCTCTTGATGAGGCGCAGAGGGCCCTGTTCAGAGAAGGCCCGTCGCGGGCTGCACAGCTGAGAAAATCCTGCGCAGCACAGACAAAAACACGGAAAAGAAGAAAGGGAGGAAGAGGGAAAAGAAACAAAAAACATGAACTGTGGTTAGTGAATGAATAAGGAGGAAAGCTGGCTGCCTCCTGTTTTTCTGGCCAACTTATAGTCAAAAGAGTTGCAGGAGCTTTTTTAGTATGGATTCAAATATTGACCCTTCTCTGGTGGGTCAGTCAGTCATAGAGACAAAACAGAATGCTGGTATCACTCACAGAAAAGTAGGATAACAAACAAATAAATTATGATACGTTTAAGAGTTAATATATTTTGTCTTTTCTGCAAGGATGAGAGAGAAAATGCACCATAGGATCGAGTTTGCCAACTGCTCCTTCTATTCTTTTTTCTATATTCGTCTTTAAATTCAGAACATGTCACATCAGAGTTGTAAGGTGTTTGGTTTCAGTTTTTCAAACACAAGTGTTTTTTTTAAAGACTGAGTTTCTCCGTGAATAACAAGTAGAGTCATTATGCACTTCAAGTATGAGTCAGAGCAGGGATGCACTGTTACGTTGATACTTGATATGATAACAGTTGATTATGCAAATTGGCTGAACAATTAGGGGAGAGCTGTTGGCAGAGTCCATCCAGTAAAGAGCCAGGAAGCTACAAAACATCAGTTGAGGCATATCGCAGGTCTATCAAGGCACTAAAAGTGTGTAGATTTAAAAACATGTAAATTACAATTACTGCAGTAATTACAATATGTCGTACAGTTAAGGACCCCTCTATATAGTTGTTTGTGGGTAATTTCTTCAAGGGAGTTATAAGCACCGACTAAAAACTAAATGAGATCATGATTTTAAAAGTCATATGTGCTCTAGAAGTGTTTTCAAGAAAAAAGTGTTTGGCTATGACCATACAATAACAAACCTTTCACCTACTTTCTAATTAAGAGTTCACAAGTGAAGTGGAAAAAAAAGAAGATTGTCATTGTTGGCTGAAGAAGTTTTGGTGTGTGGCCCTGGGTTTCTATGGTTACCTATGTTCCCTAGCAGGCTGTTGGGCGCTGTGTTTTGATCGGGCCTCAGGGTGTTGCCGTCCTGTCCAATGAACTCTAGGCTGTCCTGTAGCCTAAGATCAGAAAACCAAGAAACAAAGAGGTTTATATGGATAATGTGCATGTAACAACAACACAATTATGCTGTTTATACACACTATATGCAAGTTAGAGAAACATATTTTAAAATGACTACAACTAGGGCACACAGTTTAGTACAAGAGTGTGTTTGAATAGATGGGGCAAATAGAGAGTATCCCAGGTTTATTTTAAAACAGGGAATATAAACAACCAAGACAGATACAACAGGAAAGAGAGGTGTGTGTGTGTGTGTGTGTGTGTGTGTGTGTGTGTGTGTGTGTGTGTGTGTGTGTGTGTGTGTGTGAAAACAAGACACCTACGAAAACTACACCTCAAATGTTTCATCTACCTATTAAATGGAATAAGAATTCTTTACATGGCAGTATCAACTGTGCAGAGTCGATGCATCGCTATTCTCTTTACCTGATCTGGTGGATTTTTAGCGTGGAGCCTTTGTAGCTCATCGCCACAGAACCAAACATCATTTCCCCCAGCATTACTACATCGGACGAACACCTCGAACCCTGGTGAGGAGAGGAGGAGCACAGAGGTTTTAGGTTGTTACCCTTAAAGAAAGATTAAGATGTTCTTGTCTAAATGGACCTCAAAGTATCGCTACAATCTACAGTGGCTATGTGAGTGTTTTCTGTGCATTCATGTTCACCAGCTGTGATATATGGATATTAAAACACATGACTTAAGGGGAGTGAATATGTAAAGGTATATTGAGAGTCTGTGTAACCTGGAAGCGGATGCCCGGCTCCTTAGGTTCCTTGGGTTCAGAGGTGCAGGAGGAGGAGCTGTCCAGAGAACTGCTGCTGCCTCCTGTAGGACGGAGCTGGCAGCATTTCCCGAACATCTTCCCCTGGCCCTCGGTGCTCTATGGGATCATGAACAAGAAATGCAGCATTAAATACCATGAATACAAGGTCCTCTAACTCTGCAGAAGGTTTAAGTTACGCTTGATACATATTAATGTTTTAAGCGTTCATTACTATGCATTGTCCCTGCCAAATACACGATGAAATGAAAAAATGGAATGAAGTGGTTTCAGAAAACCTTGTTCCCTTCATTCTAACGGTTCAATCCTCATTGCCCAAAGACATGTGTGTTTTTGCTGAGATTGAATAGATGGAAAAGCAGCCTTTTTTACGGCCATGTGTTACATCTAGGATGTAAACACACTTTTGTAACTTCTGAAAACATATGGTCTAAATATCTAAATCTAAAAAACTCTCCTCTTTATAACAGGCCAGTAGCAATGGCTCAAAGTATGAAGTTGCTTTTGGGACAAGGGAAAAAAGCAATGGGCAACAATTAATGTAGCAAAATGAGCTGGAACCCTATTTTGTGGAAATGAAGGACAGGACAGATGTAGACAGAATGTATGTTTAGCTCTAATTTAAAAAAAAAAGGGTGTGGAAACAGCCCGTACGCGTGGGAATAGATAAAGTCAAGAGGATTATATTGCAGAGGGACTTCACTAACATAGAGACAAGAGAAACCAGCTTCACCTCATTTCATGAACAACAAGAACAAGTGCCAAATATGAAAGTAGCTGGCCCGTATCAAGTTAAGAATTTAACTCAAGCTGAAGTTATAATGCTAAATTCTTCCAAACCCGTAAAAACCTGATCCAGACACAATTATGTAAACAGCAAACTAAAAGCAATGAGAGCTTAATCAGCCTGTGTCATGTGCCTTCTTAACTTGGCCGTCTATTCAAGGAGGAATGCATTTGGGAGCGGGGGGAGGGTGTGTTTTTTAGCTAGGCTCTGGTAATGGCTCACTTGAAAGCACTGTTGCTGCCAACGGAAGAATGGAAGAGAAAGGAAAGGAAACCGAGAGGGAGACGAAGAGAAGGAAGGAAGGCAGGGATTAGTGTTTTTGCTTCAACTTGTTCATTAAAAGTACATTTCATTCTGTAATATCAGACCTGTTGTAGGACACACAGGTCCTCATGCTAATAAAGCCATGCGGATCCGGAGCCAGAATGTGCTTGCGTGTGTACGTGTGTGTGTGAATGCGTCCGCTGCACTGCAGTGTGAGGTGTGTACACCGAGGCCAGCAGCATGTGACTGGCAGTCATATGACTCTTTCTGGAACTCGTGAGCGAGCAGCGCTGCAATCACTCCCCCCCTCCCTCCCCCTTTTTCTCTCTCACTCTCCCTCCACAACTTCATCCTTCTCCTAATATCCGCAGCTTGCTTCGTCTCTTTGAATACATGCATTTATTTTCCTGGATTCGTTATCTTCTTTAGATCCCTTCTTCCTAACAGACGATATTTTGTTGCTTTATTTGTAATTCCTTCTGACATGCATGCCCCATATATCCCGTGTTTCTCTATTCCTCATGCTCTCGATGCTGCGCTGCTTGTTCCTGCTGTGGATCTCTCTCAAATAAATTCCTCTGAGTTGACAAAAAACAACAACAAAATAGACTAAACAGAGCCATCATGTGATAGGAGTCACACAGTGGCTGGACAAGCCCTAACAAAGCAGAATCCAACACAAATATTAATGTCAGCCACTGAAACAGACTTTTTCAATTAATGTTTCTTTATTTAAAAGATCTCACTTTGAATGTATAGTATCACTTTGTAGGATGCATTCATTGTCTTACTGTGGTTTTATATCTGGCACCAGTACAATCTAAATGTAGAGCTTCAGTAAAATGAGAAAGCTAAGCAAACAGACAATCTAAGTTTCAATGTCATAACAAAGCAGGAGTGTGTGTCAGTGTGTATGTGTGATGGCAAGGTTATGAACATGATAATGATAGCAGATAGAGAAATACTGGTCATGGAAAAAAGAGACATGCCTAAGAGGAAGCAGAAAGACAGGTGAAACTCACAGGTGATGGAAAGATGATTACAAAAAAAGACAAACAGGAAGCACAGGCAGGTGTAGAGGGACAGTGTGAGGAAACTTTGAGACACAACAAAAACATGTTGAGTTTGGTAGAAAAAACTAAAGAAAGCATCTGAGGTAGAAAAAGATCAGGTAAGAGGTATAGTGAGAGTGGAAGAGGATATTTGAATAGGTAGAGAGACAGAGTGAAAGAAAGCCAGACTTTTATAAAATATTATAGAGATAAAGTAGGAAGTACCAAGTAAACCAGAACACTTGTTTAATCAAGCCGAGAGCACGATTAGGGCGTTCAGAGAACCAGAACTTAGAGGCAGGGGAAACCAGATTTAGAGTTTAGGGAGGGTAAGACCGAGCCAGAGTCATGGGGAGAAAGACGGAAAGACGTTGAGTGACAGGGCCGTCATGTGAGGATGAAAGAATGCTGCTTACACATGGGCTGTCAGCTGAGGCTATTATTATTGTAGATAAGAGCTCAAGAACAAAGCGGTCACACAGACGGGAACACGCAGCAGCGTTGGGAAAGTATAGGTCATGTTATTCAAAAAGCAACAGTTTGGGAGAGGCGAGACTAAACAAAAGCTGGTTATCTAAAAATAATTGATGCATTTAAAAAGCTATTGTTGCACACACCCTGATAAAAGGCCGTTTCACAGTTTTATCATTTTGCACTCAATGGACAACACACATTGACTAATCGTTTGCAATCATTATTTATCACAAGAGGACTAGACCTTTTCTTTTACAAACTACAGAAGAAGATGTCACTTTAAGATGACTTTGAGAAGTCATTTGAATCCTACAAAGCCATGGAAAATGCTGAATAACTAAAAAGGCACTGAGACTGCAGACCTCTGCTAGATCTGTTTGATGTAGTGACAAACATGTGTGTCTGCCATGTGATTCAGATATGTTTAAACCCTGCTGACAAGTTTCATAAAACATGTTCTGGTTTCCCGCTGACAAACAGAAAAATAAACCAACATAAATAGATATGAAATATATATAAATCAAATAAATGAGTGTGTGCTTAATAAACAAAAAACACACCCACAAAAAGAACGTGCACACTGTCCAACTGGGCAAATCCCCTGCCTTCCCCTCCTGATCCCTCGGTCAGACATTGTTAACAGAGAGGACGAGAGGCGTCCTGCAGGATGAGGTGCAGCTTGTGGCTTCTGAACATCATGAAATACTCAGTTGCTATGTTTGTACTCCTGACCCGTTAGCAAAGTGGTTATGGGGAACTCTAACATCCTAACACAACCTGTAACTAACGAGTAGTGTCTTTTCGCCATCTACAAAACCAAGGATGGGCCACCAAATGACAACACAAACACAAAACATGTGACTCACTGTGATGGGGGTTTCCTCCGTGCCCTTCTTTTTTGCATTGGAGTCGAAGAGGACATTTCTGCCACGCCTCTCACAGTCCTGATACACGATCAGCCGTATCTGACTGGGATCCAGCTGGGGGATAGGCCAGCTACATGGAGGCGAGAAGGAAGAGACGAGAGGTAATGGAAGAAGGGAGAAGGGGTCAGGAGAGAGGGAGTGAAGGCAAATGTGTGTGTGTGTGTGCGCTTACGTGTTGAGACAAAATAATGCAATTAGTATAAGTAGACAGACAAAGCAGCAGAGATGTGCGCATAAGAGAATATGAGGTCATGCTCCAGCAACAAATCACGTCCAAAACAGTCTGGCACAGCACTGCACTGCACTGGACGATGATACAATACAACTTTTTCCACTACAAAGATACAAACCTTTTAATTATGAAACGGATCTGGTTACAGCTTCACCCTATAGACCCATATTTTTCTATAACTTTCTAAATGGATTCAGCAGAACCAGAGCTAAAGTCTTTGTTCCTTCTTGAAACCTGTCACCTACATCCCCCACAATGCAACTCTGCCACGATCAGTTCAGTTCAGTTCAATTATGTTGGGTTATGCTCGTAGCAATGACTCAAGTGACATCAGATGAGGCAATTATCAGATTTCTGACATCTTTGTCTCGAGCCGAAAATACTTTATTGCTTTTCCCATGGTACTATTTCCCCAAACACGTGAACACTGACTTTGATGTGTTGACTTTACAGATGTGTCCTTTGAAGATGACAATTCTTGTTTAAAGAAGTATTTGTTGGGTATGAAACTCAAGCCGTGGTGGAGGTCCGAGTTACAATGTCTGCCATGTACCTGCCAGATATCCATGTAACCAGCAAACTGACTAGTCTCTGGGCATGATGGAAAAGTTCAAATGATGTACTAGAGAGCTTTAAATAAATCACTTTAAGCCTGTCATCCCTCCCGGTCGCACTGGGCATGGCCGAGCCAACAGCTTCCTTCCATAGCTACCATTCATTCATGGCTAAAGCAGTAGGGAGCAACAAAGACGCAGCGACACATATCAACAGATTTCCAGAGTAACAAGATAACAAGAAGCCACTCCAGACTCACTCAGCTGACTTCCTCCAAGATGGCTAAGATATGTGAAAAAAGTTCATGTTTGCAGCTTCTACATTCTAAGTTAGACATGTTCACTATGACCAGTCGAAGAGGGATAAAACAATAATAGAGACTTTGGGTATTACATTTTAAACTGATATAGACTATAGTAGTGGAACATTTATTCCGTTTAGAAACTCTGTCCAATAGTTAGGTAACAGTTAAGCTGTTTTCCCTGGCAGCCCCTGGTACATTGCAGTTGCTAGGTAACCTGTGGTATCATTCAGCTTATCTTATAAATGCTGCTTATCTTGGGCAATATTGTGAATGATGTCGTTCCATATTTACATTTTACTGTGGCTTCGGCACTCCCCTCAGCTTTTAGGGGGAAACTGGGTCCCGGGTTGATTTATTAGGGGCTATAAAAGATGACAATGAATTGGCCAAGCAGATAGAAGGTCAGGATGTCTGTCTGACCTGATGAGCAGATGGACAGAGCTGGACCTTAATATAGCCTTTTATTTGGGCGCAGGACAGCCCCCAAACACAAGTGTTTATAGTAAATGGGTTGGAGGGGAGAGGGGGCAACGGAACAGCTAAGTCCATTGCATTTGCCAATATAAAAAACCACAGGGAGCCCACATTTAAAAACAGCATCCCAGTTGTTAGAAGTAAACCTTGGCAGGGCAGGGAATACCTTTGTGTTGCTGTATGATTTGGTGTGTGTACGTAAAAGATAAAGTCTCAGTGTACATTCCGAGCTGCTATTTACCAAACACTGGTGCTTGCATTCTTTGGGCAAAATGATTGAGTCTTGCGGGGGAGTAGGAGGGACAGAGTCATGTGCTACAGTCTGCTGGGGTGTTAAGTTGTCAAACCAGAGTCATTTGTCAGATGGGGCCTTCAGAGGCAATCATACAAGAGTTTCTTTTTTTGGGGACCCATATGGGCAACATTGTTCCATAAGCTGCCTTGCCCTTTCTGAAACATCTCCAGCATTCAATCCAGTAGCTGAAGGATTGAGACGGCTGCCTACCAAAACCACCGTCTGAATTTAAACGAGGATGTGTGTGGCGAGTCACAGTGTTTCTCTGCATTGGTTGCCTAATAGTTGTCTTATACGGTTAAAACAACATTAAAAAAAGGGACCAAGCCAGATCAATGGTCTTTCGAAGAGAATGTTTTCCAAAATGTATTTTAAAAACATCTTAAGTTTTCTTATTCTAATTTCTTTTGGTGGGAAGACCCAACCTACCAAATTGAAATTGATAATTGGGTGACGAAGTGCGTGCCTGGCCTACATAATGAGCTCAAATTGCATTGTTTGAGGAAGGGTTGATATTGAGCTCATAGACTTGTGTGTAAGATTACACATTAGGCGGTGGTTTTAGTTTGTCACATGCCTCCTTGCAACTGGACTACTGCCTGTAGTGGTTTATTTATACATTCGACTTTACTGCTATTGGTTTCCATGTGTTCAGTTTTGGTTGACCAAACCACCCTCCATTAAGAGAAATATGTTTAAACGATTTAACACTTCTGAACCAATACTTTCCATTATATTAGCACTTTGAATGAGCAAAATGTGCTCAGAACTTGCGTGATCTCTTTATGACTCTGGCCAGAAATGCTACTGTATCGTTTGCACGTTCATAAATAAGGTTACGTATCGAATGAAGAGAACAGCCCAGAAGAGATTTGCATAATTAGACACCAAGTTCACTGCTTCCTTTGTTTTAAACATAACTGCAAAGAAGAAGGAATAGATACTGGATAGAGAGAAGATAGAAAAATGGTAATAAAGAGCAAGGGCCCTTATATAAGCATCAGAAAAAAGTGTAGCAAAATATTTCCTTTGTAAAGAAATGTGTTTAAGAAAGGAGAGAGAGAGAACATGCAGGTAATATTGAAATGTGTTGGCGAGCAAACTAGATTTGTGCTAGGATAATGAGAGAAAAGGTCATATAAAAACAGAAACACACAAACATCTGAGATACAGAGAAGTGCATTGAAAGAAAAACAAGGCAGCAAAGGAGGAAGTATGCCATCAGTGAGCTTGTGACAGTCAGAGCGCTGACAGAAGAGGGGAGTCATTCATAAAAGCAGCACATGACTTCATGACTGTTACATACTTGTACTGCTTTGACCTCAATTGTGTGAACCAAAACTGACTTAAACATTCTCTCATTAACATGCAGACAAGCAATTATCATTTTCTTGAACAACCGGTCTTGAAAAAAAAAATCCCTTGCAACTGTTTGTAAAGGGTAATTGAAAAAACACGATAACGAACAGGGCCTTAACCTTTTTGAAATTAATTCAGTTCCTGAAAAAAAATGGTATCCTTTCTGAGATCAGGGGTGTACTGTCAAACAGAAACTCTTTAAACTACAACTCCACCCAAACACCTAGCAACCCCACCGTTTTTTTTATCCACACATGCACATTAAAACATTACCACCTAACCCTCAAATCTACATTGACCTCAAATGATATTTCTTCAAAACTACATCCTTGTTACCTCAAAAGGAAAACGCTGCCAAGCTGGTACCAGCCACAGGTTGGTAACACTTCAGCAGAAGACAAAACTTTAAATGAAACAACTCCAAGAAAAACCTCCTTTGACCAACACTACCGAACACTGTAGATGTACCTAAGCCTGGTTAAATATTACCGACTCCTACCTGGGCATCATCGCGAGTCTGCCAGTCCTTTTCCAGCCCTCTCCCTCTCTCTCTCTCTACTCTTCTCTCTCTACTTCTCTCCTCTCCTCTCCTCTCCTCTGTCAGCCAAAGCAGGGTCTAAGAATAGTGGTGAACTAAATTCACACAACAACATGAGACTGTCAGGTGATCGCAGGAGCACTGTGTGTGCCGGACAGTACAGAGGGAGCAACAGCAGCGAGTCCGGACTGCTGACTGCCACAAAGCGCTGTGATAAGAGAGCGACAGTGGGGATCTGTTTGTCTGTTGTTTCTTAATCCAACGCCTTTTGTTTTCCACTCTCCATTGTGTTCCCTCGCTGCTTCTTTCTATCACACTTCCTTCGATCATTTGACGTATACCTCAAAGTGTTCCCTCAACAAAGAAGGCTTAGAATAAAGAGCAGGAAACAAATGTATTAAAGAAACCAGACTCTTAGGTGAAAGCCTCCCAAGACTTTGAGTAACTTGAATTCTTCCTTTAAAAAGAAGTGAGTCACAACATCTCAATTGATTATCATATAAGTTAATTGCCCTCTGTGACTCTGGGTGAAGTCTAAAGTTTTACGCTACATCATTTGATTAGTAGAGGGGCCTATAAATAAATGTTTCCACTATGAATTTGAAAATGTTTGAAAAAGGTGCCAGATAAATCTTTTAGAAAACAACTAATGCACGATTTCAAAATCAGATTCTATCTATGAGCTGATTGTATATTTTGATTGAAAATGCTGTTCTAATAGTAATGTAGTATAGACCTATACTGTATAAACTGACACATACTTCAATTGCAGTTATATTGCATATTTCTAGCTTTGGTTGATGCTCTTCTCCAAAGTTTCTGCACTTACACTGGTCCGTGTACAAAGATAGTACAATAACAACTATTTTATATTAAAAACTTTAAATCGCATAGAGTGCCGCAGTGAAGCGTCCTGAAACCCGGGAGTAAACTCCTTCCGGTTTCTTTGACAAAAACCAATGCAATTTCTCCATAGGATTTTGGAATAGCTGGAAATAAGGTCTGTGGTTGACACACTTAAGAGACTGATCACGTTTTGTTCAGCCGGATAATATCCACATGTCTACCCTACTTTTATAATCATAAATCTATCTATAAGATTTTTTTGTTGAAGGAACCGGAAGTGGTAAAATGCTAACTTACTTACTACATTTGACAGTGATAAAGTCTACAACAATGGGAAAACAGCACTGCTGCACCTGGCCGAGGTGTACGCTGATTAAGGTCACCCCAAGTTTCCCTCACTCCAGAGTCTGACATCAGCGTACCGACTGACCTCAAAGAACCCTCGCTCTCTCTCAAGTGTGTGTGTG